TTTTCAAAACACTTGAAGTTTGTTGAATAACTTCATATGTAACATTAACGAAAGTAAATGTAGTTTAATGGCTACATTAATAGATTAGAGTTTGCCGTATGTAAATGCTGAAGTATAAATGTAGTCTTGGGCTGGAAATGGAACTTCAAGTTCAGTATCAAAATCGTGTTATTACCCAATGGTAAACCACCCAGACTATGAAACAATGACACATTTCTACAGTGAAGTTAGGGACTACAGGTAAATATGAAAGCTTACTATACCCTAAGAGCTGGAAATGACAAACCCTTTTGGTTAAGTCTCACAAAAAAGTTGTGTGTCGATTAATTTAGAAGGCGGAAATTAAAAATTGCATTTTTTTCCATGTGAAACAAGAAGTGCAAAAAATATTTCCAAAGACATGTTATATATTATTTTTCTTCTCTTCTGTTACAAAAATAAGTATAGATGAAAATGCCCAAGAGTGTTTGGAAACTAAAGTCACAGAAGTTACTTTAGACATTATAGTATGAATAGCTATCTGATCATTAATACAAGTATACTCAAAGACAGTAGATTCAAAAGAATTAAATCCAGACCTCCACAATCACAGGCAAAACTTCATATAATTTCTTCTTTGAAGTATGGCAATTGTATATAACAAATACACATCTTCCAGTAAGAAATTAGTAGAAATTTACTGTACAAAGCAAGTATGTGGTTTTGCTAAATGATACCAAAAAGATTGCATTTGTTGTTCAAATTTCTTTGGGGGAAAAAAAAAAAGATCTTGTAAGTAACATAACAGATTTTAAAGCTCTCATTTCTGTCCTTTCTGCTCATTGTTCTTCAAATTTCCTGCTTCTTTACTTTACTCTTTGTCTTGCACAGACCACCAGACTACACCCACAATCACATTTGGGAAACTTTCCTGACATGTGGTTTCTGCAGTTTCCCTCTGCTTTTCGTCACTGGTAGAAGGTTCTGTCCTTGTGTTTAGCTGGTTTCACAGATGATTATTGAAACTCTTTTCTTTTACTTACTGCTGAATTGTTTATATATTATTCCATCAGTTTAATTGGATCGTACTCCTTTACAAAATGTGGAAAGCATAAGCTTGTCAGAGGAGAAATTTAACAAGTAGGGTTATAATCACTTGGAAAGAAAATATGTACAGGTAGGAAAATATAAAATGTAGATATTAGTTCATTAAGATGGGATACAGATTACCTTATCTCTTCAGGAAACATCTTTCAAGAACATGAATAATAATACACAGATATCTGAACCATGCAGAAAAGCAGAATCATTTTCATGTATAGCAGGGCCCCTTTCAAATCTTAGACACTTTACTGTAGAGTTTACCTGTTGAACAGAAGCCTTTCTTATTTGTTAAGCTAATATTTAGACACAAGGTAGAGGTAATGACACTTCTGTGGTAAGTTTCAAGGAAGTGAAGTAAACGTAAAAGATCTCATTTTCTTTCCTTGTCCTGTGGCTGGTCATTTAGCTGTCTAGCTCTCTAATATGTATAGGTAAGAAATTTTCTGTGTAGAAATCTTTCTCTGTAACCCATTATGTACCCCCTTTGGTCAAATTTTAAAATTTCCAGACAGACATGAAAACTGTTATCAAGAAATATTGATTGTATTCAGGTGATTGTCCGTAGATACCTTTACATTGTGATATGTCTACACTAGCAATGATAGAGAAACTTTTGTGCTAGCATATCGATGGTAAACATGCTGTAATCCTCCTTCCTTTACATGCAGCTCACGTGGTAATAGAAGTGGCAGAGCACTGCTCTTCCTTCTCTGTTTCTCTCAGCTGCTTTTCTGAGTCACAAACCTGTATTGTCCTTCTTCTGCATAAACATTTAGATTCTCTTTTAATTTCTGTAAGGACATCTGTTATTTGTTCATTATGGGTTTATTAGGACCTCAGCACAAAGTTTGCTCTTGGATACCACCCTTTTTCCACATGCTGTGGCTTCTGGTTTTGACGCTTACACTATATGGCTCTAACCTCTCCCTTCCAGTCTCCAGAACTGCACTGCCTGTGGTGAAAAATGTTTCGCTCCTGATGGGCCTACTCACTGCTTTTGCATTCTGTGAGAAGGAAACATCACAGCTAAGATTCTGTTTGGCATTTAGACCCAGAACTAAAAAAGATGAACTGCAGCATCTTGTGGAATTTTTATTTATGAAGTCCATGAGCAATTTGATGGATTTGTTCAGCAAAGCTAACACAATACAATTGGACCCTACTCTGTTCATAAATCAGCCCCCAAAAAGAAATAAATATAATCAAAACCATTCTTAGTCTCAGGGTCACTCCCTAGCCCTAGGAAAGTTCATACTATCCATGTTGCACTTCCATGAAGTGCATGCAACTAAGACCTTTCAGCCCGGAAGGGTTTAAGGAGAATGGTAGTTTTTATTCAAAATTCTAGTATTGATCTGTTGAAGGAAGCAAAGGAAAGAGATTCCACTTGCAGACCTTTCTTTCCACCTGTGGACATTTACCATCATTGAGGTGCACAGGCTGATTTTTTTTCTACAAAGTTTCTGCTGACACTTTAACTCTTTCCAGTGTAATAACAGTTGGACAGCAGGCCACCCAATGCCACCTACAAATGTGCCACAACGAGGTCACCAATAATCTCTGACCTATTTTCAGTTCCTATTTTCAGTACCCTTTGTGAAGGATATGATTTGGGCACTAATGGCATACTTTTAGGAAATAGTTCCATAAAAATTAGATGACCATCAAAAGCCACCTGAAGTTCTTGCCCACAGTGATCTCTGTCCTGTATCTATTTTGTAATCAGTAGTTCATTTGCTTTTCTTAAGTCTTATGTTTCTAAACAAATCCATGTTAGGCATAATGAAGTCATTCACTGGTTTCTATATTCATTGGACAACGAACTTTAAGAGAACCACTCATCTTTCCACATCCACATCTGAATGATTGAAAATCTAACAAAAAATGTCGGGCTGGATTATAGATTGTATAAAAAAGTCCTGATAAAGCACAAATATCTATGCTTAATATAGAGGTCCACTCAACTGAAGTAACTAATGGGCCCATTCAAGCAGAAATGGTGATTTCTCCAGATTACATTGCTATGCTTGATATACTCAGGTTAGGCACATGAAGTTCTATCCACCCCTTTGCTAACTGTTATGTTTACAATGAAGTTTCTGAAAATCGTGCTGCATTTTGCGGTGTTGGCTTTCTGGCTCTGTATAACTAGGCATCCTGAGAACCCCTTCTAGATGGTTGTTTGCAACATGTTGCTTAAAGTTACCCACAGATTGAATACACATGTAAAAAATCAAAGAAGTAGATATTTTTCTATTCTGGCATTATTTCTATCCACAAGGAAACTGCAAAGAGGTTGTCTAAAATAAAGTAATCTGACATGGTGGAACATTTTAGCAAAGAAAGAGATACATATATTTTCAAGCATCTCAGTTTAACGGAGTGCAATGAATCTTGGTGCAGTGTTGGTCAGTGACTATATAACTTAATCAGTTAAGAATTTGAGCTTTAACAAAACTTTATACCCTGTCTGCTTTTAAGGATACGTGAAGTACTGTATGCTGCATGTCACTTTATTAGGTACTGCCCATTTGTCTTTGCTTGAGGCAACCAAACTAATTCCATACCAGTTAGGTTCAGCCTCACAGTGCCAAAACTGCTGGTTTTCTCTCTTTTACACATTGATATGTAAACATACACTTGATAATTTGAGTTGACTAATAAACACAAGAGTGGGAGAAGAGCCAGTGCTGTGTCAGACCAAAGGTTCACTGACACAGTATTCCATTTATGATACTAGCCCAGAAGGGATGCCTAGGGAAAGGTAGAACAGGGCAAACTTGTAGCTGTGGTTCCCCTCCCCAGACTACTCTCCCACCTTCGAGAAATCTGTGGCTCAGGAACTTTCTAAATCAGAGGGAATACTTTTATATTGAATAACCCTTACTGGATTTTTTTCCTGTGAATTTGTCTAGTTAATTTCTAACATGCAAACATCTAACAGCCACTGCAATCCTGCCCTAAGGATTTGAACATCTTAAATATGCTTTGTTTGAAAAGAACTTTGTTTTATTCTAAACACGCCACCTGCTAATTTCATCTGATGCTCCTAGCTCTTCTTCTAGAAAAGAGATGCCTGTGTGCCCTTTCCATTCTACTCAAGATTCTATACACCTCTATCATACCGCTCCTCAGCTTTCTCTTTTATAGCCCTGAGTCTCCTAGTTGGTTAGTCATTCCTTCTACAGAGCAGTTCCCTATCTTTGATTATTCTTGCATCTTTCTCTACACCTTTTCTAATTTTACTATAACTTTTTCAAGGTGGAAAAAATGGACAAGATCTGCATGCTGTATTCAGGATCAAGGCACACTGTTTAGTTTTCTATTTCTTTTCTGAGACCATACTTAGACATTGTTCCAGAGTCATGTTTGTCCTTTAGTCACATTTTACATTGATTGTTCATTCTCTGAGGTGTGCCATGGTTCTCCTACAGTTGTTGTCATGACTTGTGTAACCTCCCTTCTTAAATATTCCTGAATACTCATTTGCATTGATACAAGAAAATAATATTACCTCTCCTTTGTCTTAGCTGTCAGACTTAATGTAGGAAATAGAAGACACTATATGAGCCTAAACAAGGGTGTCTCTTGCTGTTTTAGATGCCCTAAGGTATGAGAGGCACCCACCTGGCAAATATGATATGACAGATAAGTAACACTTGCACCCTTCTGGAGTGACAGCTTGAGGTCGTAAGGAATACTCTGTGGTATCTAAAATGACACGAGATACCTTTATTTAGGTATTGAATTTCTGCCTAGGTGATGGTATGTAAAACAGTCTAACTCTTATATGTCAATCAAGAGAGCTCTGAGTTCCGAATTAGCCATATTTCTTGGTGAAGGCAACACAGCAATATCTGCAGTTTTGAATAGTTATGTCATATTTAAAAATAATGTTTCTTTTGATTCTCATTTAGGATGCTGGGGAAATGGTTCGTTCCTTTGTTGGTGGCTTGGAACTGATAGTCAATTTGCTAAAATCAAAGAATAAAGAAGTTTTAGCTAGTGTATGTGCAGCCATTACAAATATAGCTAAAGATGAAGAAAATTTAGCTGTTATAACAGATCATGGAGTCGTCCCTCTGTTGTCCGAACTAGCAAACACAGTAAGTAACATCTAAATATATTATACTAAGCATCTGAATTTCTTTTGTTAGACTGCATTATACCCAACTAAAAGGTTATGATGAGAGCAGTAGATTTTGCAGCAGCTACAAGGAAGAGCTGTAGAAGCCTTCCTCTATGAGATGTGTATTAGACATGAAGACACTCTGTGGCTGGTACTAAAATTGCTTTGGAAGATGAGCTTCATTTTAATAGTCACTGTTGCTGAATATTGCTTTTGAGAGATGCAGCTGCTGTGTGAAAAAAAGCACAAAGGGTTGAGAGAGTAATAAATCTGAACCATGCAGAGAATCTCAATGATGGGGCTATATGTTACATTTTAATGCTAATCTTACCTAATTTCCAGTCAGTCTAAAAGCACCTTTGAAATAGTATGAAAATTCACAGCACTTCCTACAAAGAGAGTAATAAGGGACTACTAGCTCCATGACTTACAGCTCTCTCCAGTTTTTAATTGTGCTGCAGTTAAATTGAGATGCCTTAAAGATGTTTGAGAATACAATTCTGCTTTCCTATGAAAATTTGGTGTATTACGTTGTCTTTATTATGTTTTTACCTTCTTCAGAACAATGACAAATTAAGACGTCACTTAGCAGAGGCCATTTCCCACTGTTGCATGTGGGGGAGCAATAGAGTTGCCTTTGGAGAGACCAAGGCTGTAGCTCCTTTAGTACGTTACTTGAAGTCAAATGATCCATCAGTTCATAGAGCTACAGCCCAGGCTTTGTATCAACTTTCAGAGGATCCCAGCAACTGCATCACCATGCATGAAAACGGAGTGGTGAAGGTGAGGTGGAAGGTTTTTCTTATTTGGAGTTCAATTGGACGGGTTTGGCATGGTCAAAAGAATAGATCTTTCGTTTGAAATAGTTCTTGAATACTGCTGCGTACCTCAGATTTTCTGAACTTTATCCTAAAAATGTTTGGTCAAATAGCAATTTAGGGAACAGTGCTAAAGACATTACAGCTAGGTTGTTGTTGGGAACTGAAATACGATGCGGGCTTTCATCTCTAGGGTACTTGACTCTGACCTAGGCTGGTAGTGACATTACATCAGCATTTTGTCTTTCTCAAGTGACTTTTGCAAAAGAAGTTGGGTTATCTTAATGGATAGTTGCCTAGTATGGCAGAAAGTCACCTAGGAACTGAGGGTAACTAGATTTGAGGACAAATTAAGACAGAATAATAGAAAGGCTTACTTTACCTGGAGCTGTTTCAGTGAATTCTGCATTTACTTGTAAAAATTCTTATTTTAGGAGTTAAGTATGAGCACATTCTGCAAAGACCTTACCCTAGAAAGAATTTTTCTCTCTAAAATATTTTTCTAGAAAAGTCTTATCTCAGTAGTTGAAGCCAGAAGAGTTATTCCTTTGGCACAGGTGAGATAAGGATTATGACCTTAGAGATGGAGATAGTAGGAGTTCTCAATTGTCATAAATTTCTTGAAAGATTCACTGTTTGCAGGCTTTCCATTTTACTTCATGATCAGGTGAATGTATTGAAAGTAAGAGTTGACTTATGGTGCAGTGTTGTTATTAATGTTGATTTTATGCCTGCACTAATGATGGTGCACTTCATTGTGAGCAGTTTCAGTTCTGGTACAGTCTAGTGGTCCTGCATTATCATACATTTATCTGTAGTTTCCTATATCTGTAGTCAGGTTAAAAAAAGAGAGAACTGATAAATGGAAGAGCAAAACTATGAAATAAAGGAACATGGGTTATGTTTGTTGCATCTAGACTTTTTGTCCTGGGTGCACTTCTGTCTCGTGTACAAGAAACTTGTATTTTTGTAATGCAGTGGACAAGTGTTTCAATGTGGGTTTATACGTGGTTCCATCACAGAACTGAAGTATAAGTGCTTCTCATCTCATAACTGATGGATGCCCTGAACATACAAGAGGATATGTGACCTATTCTCATTGTGTTGCCAGCACACAGACATATTTGTATCATATAAGCAGATATGCATTAGTAGTATGACAGGAAGCAGCTGCATTTTGATCCATGTTGATCCTGCTGAAAAGAACCTGGAGTGTAGGTTCAGCAAGCTGAGCAGGAGCCAGTAGGGTGCCCTGGGAATGATGAAGGCTGACAGGATCCTGGGCTGTGTTAGCGGGAGAATAGCCAGTAGGTTGGGGTAGTGACTTAGCACTTATTAAATCACATCAGGAGTACTATGTTCAGTTTGGGCTCCCACTTCAAGAAAGATGTGGATTAGCCTGAGCAAGTCCCGTGAAGGGCCGCCAAGATGGTTGGGGACTGAAGTACATGGCTTGTGAAGGAGCTGAGCTTGTCTAGCTTTGAGAAAGAAGGCCTTTGGGCAGCAGTGCCTAATAGCAGCCTGCCAGTATCTAAGAGAAATTTATCAAGGCAACAAAGGCAAGCTCTTTACTGAAGTGCATGGTAGGAGGACAACAGACAATGGTCATAAATTGAATCTGACAGGTTCCATCTGGATATAAGGAAAAAAATCTGTGAGGGTAGTGAAGCACTGGAACAGTTCTCCAGAGAGGCTGTGGAATCTCCATCCAAGGGAATTTAGAGACCAGACTTGACAAATCCATCAGCAACCTGGTCGGAATTCAGTGCTGACCCTGCTTTGACCAGGTGGTTGGACTAGATGACCTCCTGAGATACCTTCCAACCCAAATGATTCTGTGATTCAGATCATCTGATTTGTATCAGATTTGATGGGAAATAATAAAAATAATAGGAAATATGGGAAATAATGATTGATCTTTACAAACCACTACTTCATTATCTTTTAATAATTAAGCAGTATTCTCCAGCGTCTCAACTGACTTTATTGAGCCATACTCATGGCATATTCAATTAGGGAAAACAGCCGTGGTTGTGGTAATGGGCTTTGCCATTCAGTATCCAGAAACAGTCACCCTGTCAAACGTGGCAGAAATCTGCTTGACTATACTTAGTCAGATGGGTGTCTGAAAAGAAATACTGTCAGAGGAACAGATTTAATCACTCTGTTGTTTAGATACTTAGGGAGATGTGTAGGATAAAGTGTATGAATTCCACTCTATATCATTCAGAAATGAATATTCATTCCATGAACAGAAAATTCACTTGAATTTTAGGTCAGGTCTACAAATGTATGTGACTAAGAGATGCAGTGCTACCCACATACCTTGAAATATTTCAAAATTCCATGAGGTTTGACTAATCCTCCTCTGTAGTTCACAAGATTTCATTTTGGGGGGAGAAAGCAGTCTGACTGCAAACAAAACTGGTTCTGCAGTGAATCTTTAAAATGCAGAAAACCTGATCAAGAATTAAGAGGTTAAAGAGCATTAAGATAAAAACACCTGTGACCACACATTGCCATGAAGGACCTGGAATAATTCTTCATACCTGCTATGTCTCACAATATGCAAAAGTCTTGGGAAGGATTTTTGGAAGTGATTCAGAATATTAATGAAATCACCTCTAACCTTAAAAGCCTGCACTGTTGATTCATGCCATAAGCTGTTCAGTTTGGTAGAATGGAATCTCTTCATAGCCAGGAGGTGACTGCGAACCAAATACATAACCGGGAAAAGAAACATTATGATTCCTTACTGCCCATTTTGCTTACTGGCAGTAAAAAATGAAATATCCTTGGAAGACACTAATTTATCTGAAGGAGTAGTTCTTGCTAGTCCCCCAAAAAGCAAAAGTAATTGAAGTTTGGCAGAGTGTGTTTTCAGATAAACTAAATCAAACTAGTCAGATGGTTGATGTCATCCATACCAAAGACTGTCAACCAATGCACAGTCAAATGTACTGAATGAGTGTAAATCTTTAAGAGTTCTGTCCAGCTGTTCAAGTAAACTGTCTTTTGTTCAGTGTGCTGCTGAAGTCAGTGTGTGTAGCGTAGAATCTGAAGTCCTAGCATCACCCAGCAAATGTGTAACAATGAGGTGTAACAACTTACAATTGTAAATTGAGCCTTGAAACCAAGTTTGATACTTCTAAATTAGATTATGTTAATTACTGTAAGAAATCCATCCAGCTGAAGAAATTACTTAAACACATCCCATAATTAGGGCTAAGAGCTACATGGAATTATCTTATTCAACACCGGCACATATTTCATTTTTCTATGTGTTTTCAGTTACATTCAAGTAAACATTCATGGAAGTGCTTAATTACAAATGCTGCATTTAATCTGGAGAATATGAAAGTGATTATATCTAAACAAACAAAAACATTCTTCACAAATAATATTTCTGTATTTTTAATTATCCAGATATTTTAAAATAGCATTTTATGGAATTTTTTTTTCCAGCATAAGAAGTATAAATGGAACTGTTATGCAAGCTTTGTTCCTTTAAGTCTTTAAGAAATCCTTAACACAAGGCAAACTGATAAAATGGGTAAGTCTAAACAGTAGGACCCTGGAGCAGTTCCCAGCTCTTACATGCAGCTGCATACCCTGGCCACATACTGATTGCACGTTAGGACTAAACCTGGATGCATACATTCGGATCTGTGCCAAAAAAAAAATGCAGGTGCAGAACTGGAACTACAATATGTATGAACAATGGGGAATCAGGACTGCAGGGCATACAGCAAAATGCATTTGCCTTTCAACTATGATATAGCCAGAGAGATTCCAATACCAGCGTATGTGTTGAAGTTAACGTGGCGCAGAGATCCATGTTAATAAAGTGTGAAAAACCTAGACCTTGGTCTATTCCCCCTAGGCCATAAAGTGACAAAGGTGCAGTGAGAGGTCATCAGGGCTAGCTCTCTTAAGCCATCTTGACCTTTCTTACCTGTCTGGCTACGGTAGCATGGAGCTCAGTGTCAGATGATTTGCCTTATTCTGGTACTAAAACTGCAGTATAGACATACCCATTTTTTTAAAAGGGTGTAGTTTGGTTTTGACCCTATTTTTCAGGGAATGGAATTCTGCCACCCACAAGAGGAAAACACTTATGGTCATCTAGAGTTTCTAACCCTAAATATAGCATGGTTTATTTAGCAATTATCCTGCTGTGATGTTTCCAACCACTTTCTAATGCTTATATGTTGTGTTATACCTAGAATGGCTAAGCGACAAAGCAAAGAGAAGCAACAAATAGGCCTTTTTTGGAGGGTATATTGGACCGGTGAGACATAGCGGTTCTTATCCAGTGAGGATGCCCATATAATAACAGAAATGTGGTGGGCAGTCTGAGAAAATATGTTCTGCTGAACCTATGATAGTTTCTCCAGATGTGCTGGTCCAAGTGCTTTTGTTCTGTGTTGCCAGAGCTGAGCAGATCATGAAGCAAATCAACACACGTACCATGACAGCACAGGGCACAGCTGGCCAATGCACCAACACTTACGAACTTGACCTCTGTGCTGGCACTGTTGGAATTACCATCAAGAATCAATTACTGGAGTTTCAGAAAGGCTAAACAGGCATTCTCACATGGCAGGGAGAGTGGATGGAGGAGATTTAGTTGCTCGAATGCGAATCAGTACAGTGCTGAATCTTGCCTGGTCTATTGAGTTGGTCTGCCTGGCACAGGTAAGAGAGCAGTTGCAGCACTGTGTCTGTGCTAGTGGGTATCTTTGCACCGTGCTTCTCAGTGATGACAGAACGTCCGGGGGTTTTCATTCTTCTAGCCTCTCCAGTGAATAGTTGACTGAAAGCATACTTTGTATTTATGTAGGGGTTGTTATGTACAGTTTTTTCCAGGACCAATCATATTTTTGCTTCTGGAAAATTTGTCTGTGTTCCTTTGATATTTTTTCATCCTTTTACCAGATATCTAGTGTTTCAGTAATAATGCCC